ATCAAACGGCATTACTTGATGCCATAAGGAATATTCTGTCAACTTTGACGAAATTTTTGTCTCCTTTTCCAGTGAGCCTCGCCGTCACTGCCGTTTGCGACTCGGTTTTTTGCCAGAGTTCTGGAAAAATTTCAAATTCACTATTCTCCTTCATTTCTCAACCATTTTTTACGCACTATATATGGATTTGAAGCTAATGAAGAGTAGAATCATGTATACCTGTTTGGAGTCCAAAAAGTGGACAGAGGTTGTCAGAAAAAGCCTCAAAAGTTCTGGCCAAAAGTGAACTCTTTGAAACTCGATTGTTTCACGTCGACCTTCTTCCAAAACAAGCCTAAGACCTTTAGAACGTCATGTAGAAGCTTTCCCAAGTTTCAAAATATCCTAACTCGTTCGGAAACACGTCGAACTCAGTGTGCCCGAGTTCGGACCTCATGAGTTAACGAGTCAAAACTCGTCTAAACCAGGTTTCAAGAACATGGTTGTGATCGTGAAGATGAGAGGCGTATAATTGAAGGAAAAATTTTGTCCTAGCTAAGAACAAGTATGAACATTTGAATACATATGCATACTATTAACTCATTAATATAGGCATGCATCCAAAAACAATTCAATAAAACCCATGACTTTCAAAGCCTAGTATATGGTGAACCAAAATAAACTCTTTAACAACATTAAAGAGAAAGAAGAATTTAGTGATTCTTTACCCTTGAAGCTCATCCTTGTTTACACAAGGGATTCACCCAAGTGGAGGGCCTTCAAGTCACCTCCAAGCTCCTTGAATCCTTCTTGTGTTTTCCTCCCTTTAGTGCTCCTTTGATGATTTGAGGAAAAAGGATTTGTTCTCCAAAACACCAAAAGCTTGATGTCTCTAAGTCTCTTCACCAAGGTTGTATCTTGTGAAGATGATATGGATGATTAAAAGAAGAAGAGATTGCTAGATGTTTCTTCCTTTAATGGCCGGCCTCTTGGAAGAAAATGGAGAACATGTTTTCACCCAATTTCAACTAAAAAAAAACCCTTGAAGCTATAAAGTTGAATTTATACTTCATTTCTTTGGTGAGTGGCAAACTTGCAATTAAGCAAACTTTGCCCATCCAACCCTAATGGCCGGCCTCCTTGGTGTTATTGGGCTATTTGCCCATTTTGTTTTAGTTGTCATACAACTTAAACATAATGGGCCTTTTGGACCAAAACGCTTTTGGGCCCCGAAACCCAAAACCAACATATAAGCCCAATACGAACCTTTCGTATAATTAATTAACTAATTAATTAATCTTGACCATTCTTCAATTAAACCATTTAATTGCTTATCCATTTCATTTGATTTCTTCACATACATCCTTACTCGGTGTACGATCCATTAGGTTCTAATTAGCGAGGCAGTGGGCGATGTTACTCTTAACTATCGATTGTGAATTGAAACCACATTTCAATTCTCCCTTTTATTGATTAGTATTTGCTAACCATTAGGGCTTCCACAAACCATGGTTGACGCCTAGCAGCATGTCATGGTTACCCAAGCTAAGTAGAATTGGTTGGAGAACCTATCCAGTTACAACTACAATGCAATACGGTCCTTCTCTAATACAATACTCTTAATCACATAGTTTAAGTGATAGTTTGTTTCATGTCTACTATCCAATGTGATACTTTCTTATATGATTCCCTTGAATATGATTTGGAACATCCTTCCTTTAGTCATATTCATTTGCTTTGGCCAAAGACTTTAGAATCATATCTTAAAGTATTCTCCCTCCAACATGGAAGGTTAGAGATCCCTTGTTGTACATTCATATGCCTACATGACTAGATAGCTTGACCCCAACAATGCCGTGGACACTCCGAGGGAATGCCATTGACAGGATCAAAGATCAAGGACCTAACCATTAGACATCTATGATGCCTCAGGTCAAAGGACTACTTTGCATATTGCAACCTTAGAGTTCTTACATGACATGTATGTTCGAACTCTGATTTGATCGTAGTTCAGTGTACTCGATTACTCTTTCAAGCACCTATGTGTCTGTCTTAGTGTCCAACACCAAATCACTTGAGACTAGTCATACTCACGCTTGAGTCAACATAACACATACTAACCTTAGCGGATTGTCAATGCCCAATTGGCAATCCTATGGCTAGGAACGTTTTAGGAATGAACATAAGAGAAAGGTCTCGATAATCTAACTCACTTAGATCACTTATCTCTTAGAACAAATACATTCCTTGGATTCACTTATTGCTTAAACACATGATACAATAATCAGTGATTAACAATAAGATTTGCCATCCATTAAACATATAAAAGTTTAACATAATAAGTATTCCAAAAAGCTATTACATCAAATGAGTGGCTTTGTGGGCATACTTCCAACAATAATGGTGTGGTTTTTGGGTTCGATCTACGAGCTTTGAAGCTCGTTTGAAGGTTTTGTAGAGAGAGAGAGCATACAGGAGAGAAAGTGAGAAGAGAGAGAAGGAGAGAAATGAGGGGGATATGTGATTGGTGAGAGAGTGAATAATGGAAGAGGGTGCACGGGATGGGCTAGGTAAAAGCTAGGGATATGGTTTTAAATTTTCTACTGTAAAGAGGATCGAAAATCTATCTGCGATAGTGTTTTCGTACATATAAAAAATTTACGTACACCTGCAACGACGTGTACACAATACGTCCATGTCACTTGCCAATCAGGGCATAACCGTCAATACACATACTCGGGGAGAAATTACATAGGAAAATTAGGGACAGGTTGTCACAATTTACCCCCTTATAAAAATTTTGTGCCCGAAATTTCAACACTGACTAGAAATCAAAGCCATAAAACAGATGTGGATACATATCTTTCATACGCTCTTCTGTTTCCCAAGTAGCTTCCTTCACCGAGTGGTTCCTCCATAAAACTTTCACCATCCGAACGGTCTTGTTCCTAAGAACCTTATCTTTCTAATCCAGGATAGTCACTGGAACCTCATCATAGGTCAAATCTGGATTGATCTCTAGTGGCTGAGGAGGAATCACGTGTGACGAATCCGAGACATACCTTCGTAGCATCGATACATGGAACACATTGTGCACTCTCGCCAACTCTGGTGGCAAAACAAGTGGATAAGCAACTTCACCAACTCGTTCAACTATCTGGTACGGTCCGATGTACCTAGGGTTGAGCTTCCCTTTCTTTTCAAATCGCACAACACCTTTCCACGACGATAACTTCAAGAATGCCTAATCACCAACCTCATAAACTCTATCGGTAGAATGTATGTCTGCGATACTCTTCTGCCGATCCTAGGCTGCTTTCAAGTTAGCCTTTATCACCTAGATGTTTTGTGTCGTCTCATCCACGATCTTAGGGCCCATCAAAACTCGTTCACTAACCTTAGACTAACAAAGTGGAGTATGACACGATTTCCCATACAACGCTTCAAATGATACCATACCAATACTAGAATGGAAGTTGTTGTTGTACGCGAACTTTATCAATGGTAAGCGCTTGTGCCAAGCGTCTCTAAACTGTAGAACTGACAATCTCAACATATCTTCCAAAGTCTAGATAGTTCTCTCTGACTGCCCATCAGTTTGATGATGATAGGCGGTGCTGTATAGTAATCTCAATCCCAAAGCTTCCTGAAAAGCTACCCAGAACTTCGAAGTAAATCGGGGATCCCGGTCAGAAATGATACTAACTGGGACTTTGTGGTACCAAACCACTTTAGAGACGAACCGTTCGGCCAACTGACTTAACGAGTAATTCTCACGAACAGGTATGAAGTGTGCTGACTTGGTAAGCCGATCAACTATCACCCAGATACCATCGTAACCATTTCAAGCACGAGGTAATTTGTACACGAAAACCATCGTAATATCTTCCCATTTCCACTGAGGTATCGAGAGTGGTTGCAGCAATCCAAAAGGCTTTTTCCTTTCCGCCTTAACCTGCTAGCAAATTGCACAACGACTAACATACTCTGCAGTTTCTCTTTTCATACCTGGCCAATAATAGAAGTGTCGGATGGTATGATACATCTTGGTGCTCCCTGGATACATCATAGAAGCGGAAATATGCGCTTCATCCAATAGGTCGTTCTTTAGTTCCTTAACATTCGATACATACATCTGTTCACCTTGCATAAGCATGCCGTTAGGATCTCTAATCCAGAGGTCAATATTTTTCCTGTCTGACACTGCCTGTATCAATTCCTGAGATTCTGTGTCGTTCCTCTGAGCTTCGAGAACACGATCCAACAAAATCGGTCTAACCTGAAAACTGGCAATTAAGGTCCCCCACCGACCCTCTTTCAATGCTACTCCAGTGGATCTTAGGTCAGTCAAAAGAGGAATGCGACTAGCATAAAGAGCATTATGTTGGCCATGCGACTTCCTACTAAGAGCATCATCTACCGAATTGGCCCGACCTGGGTGATACTCAATGGTGCAGTCATAATCACTAAGTAACTCTACCCATCTCCACTGCCTGAGATTGAGATCTGGCTGAGTGAAGATGTACTTAAGGCTCTTATAATCACTGAATATCTTACATTTTTCCCCATAAAGATAGTGCCTTCAGATTTTCAAAGCAAATATGATCGCTACCAACTCGAGATCATGAGTAGGATAGTTCCTCTCATGGGGCTTTAACTGCCGCGAGCATAAGTAATCACCTTATCATGCTACATTAACACACATCCAAGACCATTCAAAGATGCATCACTGTAGATCTCGAAGTTCCCACCATCATCGGGAAGTGCTAAAACAGGTGCATGAGTGAGAAGATACTTTATTTGTTGGAAGCTCTACTCACATTCATTACTTCACACAAAAGGAACGTCTTTTCTAGTTAATTTTGTCAGAGGTAGTGCTATGGTTGAAAAGTCCTTCACGAAGCGTCGATAATAACCTGCAAGACCAAGAAAGCTTCGAACTTCTGTAATTGTCTGAGGTTGTTCCTAATTCTCCACGGCTGCTACCTTCTGAGGATCCACAAGCACACCCTAAGCTGATACCACGTTGTCACGCCCCAACCCAAGGATTAACGTAAACCTTGGTTCAGAACGTGAATCACACCTTAATTATAAGTTTAACTAATATAATTAAGAATGTGACATGAAGTAAAAGCATGTATAACTCGCTTGGAATAAAATTAACTGAATAACAGATTCATTATTGAAAGTTTCAGCCAAAATTATAACTTATGAACTACTGAAAGTTCACACAAAACTAGTTCTTTATTCAAACAAGAGAGCAAAAGCCAACAAGCTCATCTTTTTATTTCTTCTACATAATTACACAACAGACAGCAAGTAGACTTTTAGGTTTCTGGTTCTGTACCTGCAAAATTTCGTTAGGGTGAGCTTAAAACGCTCAGTAGGGACATATACCTTCATTACTAAAATAATAAAGTATAATTAAGATAGCAGAATTAAAACCAAAATCAGAATGGTGCATAAGTATGCAATGCAAATGCCTTAATTATACCCGTTAATCCACATAACTAAACACCCAGACCTTGTATGTCCCATTCCGTACTTATACCACTTGATCCCGAGTGTTTAAATATATGAACTAACCCCCATCCCTAAACATCCCCGAACTCCCCTTTTTGTTAATCATCTTGCCTAAACTCTTCGTCTCCAGTCCCGAATTACCCTTAAACAATCTGTGCACTGTGGGCTCGCCTGAGACCTAGTACCTACTAAGAGTTTGGCTCAACTACACAAAACTAATAGTCACCACCTTAGATTCCCGAAGTTCTTTCCGACAATCCCACTTTACTCCCACATCATGGACCCAAATTTCATTTCAAACATTCATTATACTCAAATATCCAATAGAAATATGTATATCAAACTTGTATATGTACTTAAGTAAGAAATAATTAAATTCATATATATATATATAGAAGGTTTCCCATAACCCCCTACCTTGAATTCGATTAATTTTGCTTCTCTGAAGAACCTAATCGGAACGCAAAAATACAACCAAAAATATAAACACAAGTAACACATATTAGAAACCAAACTAAGTGTTCAACCACAAAATTGATATTATCTAAAGAAAGTACATAAATTCTGGAATCTTATAACTCAAATAATGTCACTCAAATCAAGTAAAGATGACTAGAAAGGAATCTGGGAAAGAAATTCGGTGTGCTAAAAACAGAACTTTGCATCTTCACAAAATCTGCAGAAAAACATCACTATTGAACCAAGTTTAGACTCATTTTCGAACCTTCAAAACTAAACCAAATCGTGTAATATTACATGGGTTTTGAAGTTCGTGTTATGTACTTTAAAAGCATATAAAGTTTGTAGAAAACGGAGCTCTAAATTGGAAGTTATACTAAAAGAAAAATGGAGTCTTGAAACTGGAAACCCAGTTTTCTGCTGCTGTTTGGCAGCTCGCGACCCAAGTTTAAATAAGGTTTTGATCAACCAAAACTCAACAGAACTGAGTGAAAACAATTGGGTTACAATCATGGACATATATATTTTCAACACAATAAAAGTTTTCTCCAAAGGAGCACATAAAGACCTATGAATTAAGAGCAAAATAAGACCACTAGAAACTTGAGTTTTCTCTGAAATTTTCTGCAACTTACATAACAGTACACTTCCAATTCATATAATAAAACCCAAAATATTTCCAAGTAATCCAGAAATCATGTATACAACACCCAAATATAACATGACTCAACATTAACAAGAAATTGACTTTTTGAACCAAACCCTTGATTAAGAAATTTGATCTACACACCCAATCCGAATTACCCAACTCTAATTCAAGTTCAGATTAGTTCATTGTACAGTAGAAAACCCTAATTAAAACTAAGAATTCCAAATATATCTCATGGCAATTTCAATTCAACTAAGGAAATTAAATTCGAAAAATCTAAATAATCAAGGAACAAGAAGTTTACCCTTCAAATCTCTGAATCCTTCCTTCACAATCACGTTCTAACTCTCAATTTCTCTACCCCTTTTTCGATTTCTGATGCTTTCCCACTTCTCTGCAACCCCTTTTATAGTTTCTCTAATCCTACTCACTCCTATCAGAGTCCTGATAAAAACCTAGCTTCCTAGGTCATCCACCTCCTGTTTATAGACCTCTGTGTCTCTTCTCAGTTCATCCTCTGCTGAACACACTCCTTCGTGCAATAGGAGATGAACAACTCTCTATGACACACTCCTTTGATCAATCAAAGGTCGACGTATCACAAGGTGTCCTAATCTCGATCCGATTTTTGGTATGAAGAAAGAAGATTTTTTTTTTTCCTAAGATATGGAAGGCCACCTCCTCCCAGCTTCCTTGTTTCCATCGCTCCGAAAGGAAGAGTATGAAAGGATGGTCTTTTCCTTTCTTTTGTAGAATATTATTTTATTATTATTATTATTATTATTTAACAATAATAGGAAATCTAATAAATAAAAAGTATATTATTAAAAGCTATTAAACAAATAAACACTAAGTAGACTAAAATTTTGTATAAAAACAATTATAATCACACTTCACTCTTAATTTAAACGAGGGATATTACACACGTGCCCTAAGAATGACACTTGATCTAGCCAAAACTGACATTTGCTGAACTTAGCATACAACCGATTTGCCCTTAGCGTCTTTAGAACTAAACACAGATGCCTAGCGTGATCAGTTTCATTCTTTGAATACACCAAAATTTCATCTATGAAAACAATGACGAACCTATCGAGGTATAGATGAAATACTCAATTTATCAGGTTCATGAAAGCTGCTGATGCATTAGTCAATCCAAATGGCATAACTAGAAATTCATAATGACCATATCGAGTTCTGAAAGCTGTCTTCGGAACGTCGTCGCTTTTGATCTTCAATTGCTAGTAACCAGACCTTAGGTCAATCTTTGAGAATACACAAGCACCTTTAAGCTGGTAAAAGAGATCATCAATACGAGGTATCATATAACAGTTTTTAATCGTCACCCGATTCAACTACCTGTAATCGATGCATAACCTCAAAGTTCCATCTTTCTTCCTTACAAAGAGAACTGGAGCTCCCCACGAGGAAGTGCTTGGCTGAATGAAACCCTTATCAACTAACTCTTGCAATTGAGTTTTAAGTTCCCTTAACTCTGTAGGAGCCATACGGTAAGGTGTAAGGGAAATAGGATTTGTACCTGGAAGTAAATCGATGGTGAACTCCACTTCACGATCTGGGGGTAAGCCAAGTAATTCCTAGGGAAAAACATTGGGAAAATGCCTAACCACTCCGACGTCTTCCACAGATGCAGTAGTCTCTTCTGATAGCATAACATGAGCTAAGTAGCCTTGACAACCTTTACTCAGTAGTCATCTTGCCCTCATGGTAGTGATAGCTCTGTGCTTTAGACCACTACGTTCACCAACGAACGTGACAGTAGGCATGCCCAGTCTGTGAAAAGTAACAATCTTCTCATAACAGTCCAACCTAGCACGATTGTAGTGCAACCAATCCATGCCTAAAATAACGTCGAAATCAACGATATCCAAAGGGACAAGATTAGCCGACATGACTACATCCTCAACAAGGATAGGACATCCTTGATATTCCCAACTAACATAACATATTTCACCCCTAGGCATCGAGAATTCCAACTCGTAACCTAGTGAAGTAGGATGTGGTTGAGTCTTTTGTGCAAACTTATGGGAAATAACTAAATGTGTGGCACCAGAATCAATTAAAACTTTAGCAAAATGGCCTAGAACATTCAATGTACCCATGATCAAGTTCGGGTTAGCCTGAGCATCCTGCAAGGTGATGTTGTTGACTCTCCCCTGAACTTGCTATTTGCCTCCACGACCCATGTTAGCTTGAGTCTGATTACCCCAACCCTGATTACCTCGGCCTTGCTGGGGTGTATTTACTTGTCTACCTGAGCCTCCATTGCTAGACGCTACGTCTTGGTTCTGATACCACCCTCCAGTATACATATGTGCTTCGCCACCCTGATACGGTGTATAGTCTCCCTGGAACTGTGGATAACCTTCCTCAGTCTGCTGATAGCCTCCCTGAACTTGCCGATAACCTCCCTGATAATAGGGAACCTCATGTGTATACTGATATGGTCATCCCTAATTTTGGGCTACGTCCTTTTGGTAGTGGAAAGCTCCACCGTGGCCTATATGCTGACGATTACCAAGTGCTGGAAACTGCTATAGGGGACTGCAAGTGGTAGATTAGCAAGTTGATTCTTCTGATTCTAAGGACAATTATAGGCCATATGCCCTTTATGTCCGTAAGTGAAGCATCTTCTGTTTCCCCTTTTACACTCGCCATAGTGACGAGTGTTGCATCTGCGACATAACTGAACACCTAAACTGCTAGAGTTTCCTTGATTCTAAAAATGAGAACCACCAGCGGATTTGCCCCCTCTATAAGGTGTACAAGAGTTAGAACCCTCGCTTAATGATCCAGAGCTGTTTCCACTCCTTTTAAAATTCTGAGCCCTTCTTGGACCAAGTGACGATTGCCCCTTGTTACCGTACCTTTGGTCATTGTTACTAACATCCTCATCCTCATCGTCAAGAGCATTCTCTGAATCTTCAATCCGAAGCAAGACCTCGAAGAATTCCTGGTAAGTAGCATAGGGAGTAGAGGTTGCTATAGTACGCCATTTCTTACAAGTCCCCTCTTAAACAAAGGAAGCATCTCCCGAGGATTAGCAGTAGTCTTGGGGCAATAACAAGATAAGTCCATGACCCTTTGATGATACTCAGTGGCTGACATCTTACCCTACCTCAGGTTTGTGAACTCATTCTTCTTACTATCTAAATATTCCGGAGGAACAAATCTGATCTGAAATAACCGCTTAAAAACATCCCAACTCATAGCATTCTCATTAGATAATGATTTCCTCTCATGATCCCACCAAGATTCTGCTCCCAATCGAAAGAACCAGGTCACTGTCTCGACCCATCTCTCTAGGGAAAGATTACCCTGCCTGTGTATAACTCGAAAAGTCTTCTCTACATGATCGAACAGATAATTATCTCTGACTTCTCCGATCCCTCATTACCAAAGAAATCATTAATCTTTAGGTGAGATACAATATCCAAAGTATTCCTCGGGACAAGATGGAATGAAGACTGAATAGCATTGGAAATAGCCTCACCAAACTGCCCAAAGTCCAGAAAATCATTCTTAGCTGAAATACGTGGCTCTCTATGAGGTGGCATGGTTCTGACATAAGAAAACAAGAGTTAAAACACACTAGGAAGTGCATAACTGTCTAAACCTATGCTCTGATACCAAGCTGACACACCTTGACCGGAAACGTCGAAGCATGCTAGCCATCAGCGTGAGGTGACGTAACTATAAGGGTAAATGATGCAAAAAGTAAATAAAATTAAAAGTAATTATAACTAATTATACTAAACAGTGAAAGAGTGCGCAATCGTGGGACGAACCCACTACAATTATTCAGAGTGTAATAGACAGTGAGACTACAGAAGAGTAGTTAAGATAACTAAAGTACACTTATTACACAACAATGATAAGTTCGTACGTCTAAATAGAAGATAATGTCATAATTGCCAAGATTCCTCGAGTCCCACAAAGAGTATAGCTAACTAGGTCCTGGAGGGGCGAAAAACAAAATTGAGTAAGTTAGCAAAACAATGCATAACGAAACCTACTAACCCCATGCTGTAAAACAAGTATAGCTTCCTTAAAACATACTAAGTAAGTATGTAAATGATGAATAAAAAATATTATAACCAGAAATATGCCAATTCATGATATATCAAATGCCACAATCATAACATCATGTGTTAATCAAGTATAGCTAAGTGCTCATCCATCTAAGTTGACACACGAGTTCGAACAGATAATATCTGACACGAACAGGACTAGGTGTAATCAATATGCTCTAGTACTACGATCACGTGAAGACTGGTGCAGGAGCACATCATATACAAGTTGGATTGCCTAATGCAATCTACCCGACTGGACTACCACCTAACTTGGATCCAAGGCGAGCAAATGGTACATTGTGAACATACACGTGAAGGACTGACCCTGGCCCTAAGGCAAGTACTAACACCGGGGTGCAGCAAGATGAGCATGTATGAATATGTATGAATGTCATGACAGTAATATCTCAACCATATAACATTATTTATCACATTTATATCATAGTTAACAATTATTTGGCACTATATACGCAAGTGGTAAGTTTATGAAATTTTGGATATACCATCGTGACCTACTCGACGACACGAACATCTCCAAATACGTCGTTGGGTCTTAACCCTTGAGCCTAGCTTGACCTTGAACGTCCTCAAGATACGTTTCCCCTATATGTGAAATAACTAAAATAACACTAATGAAAGCACATATACGGAAACCTAAATAAAATAGTTTGCTCAAACCTAGGGTTTAAATATACCATCGTGACCTACTCGACATCACGAACATCTCCAAATTTTTGACGGCTCACGCGCCGTCAAGGGCACGGCCAGACGCGCCCTACACGCAGGCCAGTGCCTAACGTCTGTCAGGAATATTCAACGGAATATTCTGTTAAAAGCTAACAGACGTTAACAGCGTTACTTAAAGCTGTCAAGAATATTCCGTCGACTCCGACAAAATATTTTGTCTCCTTCTCCAGTGAGCCTCGCTGTCGCCGTCGTCTGCAGGTCAATTTTTTGCCAGATTTCTGGAAAAATTTCAAATTCATTATTCTCCTTCATTTCTCAACCATTTTCAACGCACTATATATGGATTTGAAGATAATGAAGAGTAGAATCGTGTTATACCTGTTTGGAGTCCAAAAAGTGAACTCTTCGAAACTCGGTCATTTCACATCGACCTTTTTCCAAAACAAGCCTAGGACCTTTAGAACGTCGTGTAGCAGCTTTCCCAAGTTTCAAAAAGTCATAGGTCATTCAAAAACACGTCGAACTTAGTGTGCCCGAGTTCGGACCTCACGAGTTAACGAGTCAAAACTCGTCTAAACCAGGTTTTAGGAACATGGTTGTGATCGTGAAGATGAGAGGAGTATAATGGTGCGGTTTTTGGGTTCGATCTGTGAGCTTTAAAGCTCATTGGAAGGTTTTGCAGAGAGAGAGCATACAGGGAGAGGGAGAGAGATAGAGAGAGAGAAGAGAGAGAATGAGAGTTCCTTTTTCTCTTTTCTGATTGGGGAACAGAAATGAGGGGGAGATGTGATTGGTGAGAGAATGAATAATGGAGGAGGGTGTATGGGATGGGCTAGGTAAAAGCTAGGGATATGATTTTAGATTTTCTACTGAAAAGAGTATCAAAAATCTATCTGGGACAGTGTTTTTGCACAGATAAAAC